AAAGCCCAATATCCACGCCAAGAAGGTTTTGCTCTGTATCTGGTGGGATTGGAAAAGTGTGTTGTACTACGAGTTGTTACAACCGGGTGAAACAATCACGGCAGACCGCTACCTACAACAATTGACCAATTTGAGCGATGCATTAGAAGAAAAGAGGCCATTTACTGGCCAAGGACGTCGTAAAGTGATCTTGCTTCATGACAATGCTCGACCACATGTTGCGAAAGCGACTCAGGATCATATCTTTGCGTTAGGCTGGGAACTTCTTCCGCACGCGGCGTATAGCCCAGACATGGCGCCTTCCGATTACTACCTATTCCGGTCGCTGCAGCATCATTTGGCTGATACACATTTCGTGAGATTAGAAGAAATACGAAAATGCATTGATGACTTTATCGCTTCGAAGCCGGTGAGTTTCTATCGTCAAGGAATTCGCAAGCTACCCGAAATATGGCAAAAGGTCGTTGATGCAAACGGAGAATATTTCGCTGATTAATATTTTTTCGTTTGTTTTTGAATAAAGATTGGATTTTACAAAAAAAAGCTTAGAACTTTTTTGTACACCTAATAATTGAGGTTTAATATGCAAAAAATGACTTTTTTTGCAATATTTGACATTTTTTTGTAAAAAAGGTTAACATTATCTTGAGATTCTGATAAGAAGTCATGAATGTATTGTTCGTTCCCTATGAAATGCATTTTTTATTTTAGTATCTTACTTTTCAGTTATATTATGAAATACTTAAATACAGAGTTTTTGTAAGATTTTTTTCTATGATGAAGTCTATGATGATGAAGTCATATATTCTTATAATTTCTAGTTTGTGATTATTGATATATAGTGTAATTTATCGTTAGGATATGCTAAACATATATACAGGTTTGGAAAGTAACGCGTTACTTGTAACGTCACTATCGTTTTCATTACTTTTTTCTGTCTACAACGCTAGTGGTAATATTATTACCATTTACAATAACGAAATCTCTCTCACACATCCGTTACTTTTATCGTTACTTTACTCTCTCTTATTATCTTTATAACTATTCAATATATCACAAGATTTGTGTATATATATATATATATAATTAGCTAGAAATATTTTATAATAAAAATTTAAATGTTAAAAAATGTTTCGTTCTTTATATCTTACGCTGCATTCCGATAGTCTTGCCAGTACTGAAAATCTGTAGTATAGGTATATGTAACGTGAAATATTATTTTCAGTATTAGCAATAAATATTGAAATGCACTCTTAGTGACGACATTAATGTTTATAAGTAATGTTTAATAACTATTTTTTATAAAATCTGTGTTTGTAAATTACAGATTAATTACTTAAAGATAAGCGTATATTGAAAAATAAAAATGTTAATACAAAAAATTATCAAAGATTTATTAAATATAAGTTAATATCAAGAAAAGCTATAAGACTAATGTGTTTGCTATAAGACTAATTTAAACTAATACTTATTTAAGATTTGCTATAAGACTAATTTAGAGTTTTAATAAATCATTACTAAATACGAAGAAGCACCAATTATGGTCAAAGTGAGATATGAGACTAATTATACATATGTATTGTAAAATTTATCTCAGAAATAATCACCAGTTACTTTATACTTATCTTTCAACACAATCGATTTGAAATATTAATAATCCTCCTAAATTTAATTAGATCTTTGATTTGATGCTATTATCATCTTAAAACTTATTGCGAAAAATATTACCTCGGCCGGGATTAGAACACAGATCTCCCATATTCCGTGCGCGCGTCCTCCGTCGCAATGCATAGAATTTTAAATTTAAATTTAAATTTTCACAATTAATATTGACTATAAAATAATGTAATTTTTAAATCTAAATTTTTACGTAAATATTATAAAAAAGTAACGAAAAAAGTAACGAATTATTACTTTCGAAGTAACAGTAACGCGTTTATGAAGTAATGTTCCCAACCCTATGCATATATATATACACGCACGCACTCACCCACGCACGCACACATTTTTTCAGCATATATTTTTTATCAATTTTTTTGTACTATATTTTCTTATTGGCAACTATTTTTACCAACATGAGAAAATGCGGTACTAAAAAATTCTGAAAAAATTCTTAGAATTCTATGAGAAGAAAATAAACAATTTTTGTCTCTTGCTGTTTTTCTGTAAAATTAATAGTACTTGAGTAAAAAAATTATTAAAAACCAATAATCGATTTTTCGTAATTAATATCGTATTAACAATTGCGAAAATTGCAAAATTACAATAATCGCGCACCTCTTCCCGCGCTGACCTTCAGTAGCCCAGAATTGTCGTGTTATTTTAGTCTGCTCTATTAGCATACGAAATATTTGGCGGTCATTCTGAGAGGGGCGTTCTTTGTCAAATCGGCCATTCCCTTTGTCCAAAACTTACAATCAGTTCAACCAAAAAATTTTTTTCTGGGCTCAAATTGTAGGTACACATATCTATTTTCTTTAGCACTCTGGCCTTTTTGGGTGGCAAGTCTGGTTCAGGCCTAGGGTGGTCGACTCGTGATCTGAAGATCCGAGTTCGATTCCACCCGCATGCCCCATGTACGCGTTTTTCGCGTCTAGAGATCATCACTCCATCTAGTTGCTGATTAAGGGTCAAATATATTGCCCCATCTGATTTTCAGTATTGGAAGTGAATATCTCAATGCGATTGACACAAGCAATTACCATTACTGTATACAATCCTTATTCGTCCTTATTCGAAGAATAGGATGATAAATATATAATCTAACCTAACCTAACATATACAATTTGTAATAATTTTACAATATTACCATCGAGCGCTTGCTCTTATGGCTCCTGTTACCATGATTTTTGCACCCAGAAATTCAATATGATGGGCCTAATATGACGGATATTGTTCACGAAGTACTAATTAAGAATGCTTAAATCATCACTCAAATGGGCCAAGTATTCGTTCGATTTTCATGAATATCAGTCAAGAAAGAAAAGTGTTCAGAGATATCAAAGGATTTGCGGATTATCGCTGTGTTGTGATCCATTACTAATGCTTTCGTTTCGTGAACCTTCACTTGATCAGGGCGAGGAACGCACTGATACTATCGAGAAAATGCATAAATCGCATTTTTGTCGGAATAGTATTTCCAAAATGATTGCCATAATAACTCGTACAGTTTTAATTTAATCAACTTAAAATTTTTAAGATGTTTACAACACTTCTTCTCAATTAGTACTTCGTGAATTACAACCGTCATGTTAGGCCCATTATATTGATATGCGTTGAAAGTCCGACAACCATATCGGCACGCATTTATCATTTCTGAAATTAATTCATTTAAATGAATTTACAATAGTTCAACATCTTAACGTTCTGACCGTTATGGCGCTTCTTAATTTAAAATTATTATGTTTAACATTAGCGGTCTTTCAATCTTATTATTGTTTATACACGCGCGCTGAGAAAATGCGTAACTCTCTATATATATCAATTATTGCGAAGAATAATGCTAAGGTCTCGGTAGTCTAAAGGCTTAGGACGCTCGCACGGAATGCAAGAGATCCGGATTCGACTCCCGGCCGAGGCATTATTTTTCGCAATAAGTTTTATTACAGTTTTTAAGTTGGGGAATTTGGGGGGATTATTAATATTTTCAGATTTGATTGCGTTGAAAGTTCGACAACCATATCGGCACGCATTTATCATTTCTGAAATTAATTCATTTAAATGAATTTACAATAGTTCAACATCTTAACGTTCTGACCGTTATGGCGCTTCTTAATTTAAAATTATTATGTTTAACATTAGCGGTCTTTCAATCTTATTATCCATTATATTGAATTTCCAAAAAGACCAAAGTGCTAAAGAAAGTAGATATAAGTATTTACAATTTAAATTCAGAAAAAAATTTCGGGAGAGAGCCTAGCTTTCTCATGAGGTTTCAATAACAATGGATTTTTTAACAAGAACTTTTTTTGAGAATTTATATATAAGGACGCAAATTGGAATCCTGGATCTCAAAAGTGACTGTTCAGCCCAGCATTTCAGGATCTTGTATTTGTTGTTGTTGAATTGTGATTGAATGTGAATTGGATAAAGTGATCTCAATCATGTTTGATCTCATTTAGCTTCAACGGCAATTTTGCTTGATTCATCACATTTCCGCAATAGATAATGGTACAAACGGCTATCCCCCCATTCAGCATTTTGTATTAACGACTATACATCCACCTCACCTTCTCCCCTGCCGAGAAGCGCACGACTTTCCACGCGAAGCGAGTTCCATTCTACCTTTTCCTCCTGCCGAGAGGCGCACGAATTTCCATGCGAAGCGAGTTCTACCTCACGTTCCCCCTCCCTTCCTTGCCGAGAGGCTCACGACTTTCCACGCGAAGCGAGTTCCATCCCACCTTTCCCCCCTGCCGAGAGGCACACGACTTTCCACGCGAAGCGAGTTCCATCCCACCTTTCCCCCCTGCCGAGAGGCGCACGACTTTCCACGCAAAGCGAGTTCCATCCTACCTCTCTTGTTCAAGGGCGCACGACTTTCCACGCGAAGCGAGTTCCACCCCCCCTTGCTGAGAGGCACACGACTTTCCACGCGAAACGAGTTCTATCCCACCTTTCCCTCCTGCTGAGAGACGCACGACTTTCCACGCGAAGTGTAATAAGTTCCACCCCATCTTATGAACTACATTAAGCTAATTGGCATTAAGCTAAATTGGTATTAAAGTTTGCAAGTTTCTTAACAATAAATTAAATAAATTATTAATATGGCTCAATCAGAATAAATCAATAAATAAAAAAAAGGGCTACGAGCCAATATAAAGAATATTTAATATTCGTACAAACGTTTCGACGCCGATCGGGTCATTTTCAATGTAAAAACAAATAACATTACATAAATTGTCGGAGTATTCGGTTAGATTATATTATCCAGTAAAACAACGTCGGTTATTTCCGTATTCCCTATTATTAGATATGTGCGGTCCATATACAAAACTAGCATCACTTGACTGATGTAAAAGTGATCTCATCTCACTTTTCAAAAATCTACAATCTTACAAATAATTCAAAATAATAACCTGACGTTGCGTTACAGTTTAAATTATCAAGTATATATATTTTATAGTAATTTAGTACCAATTAAGTTACATACATATATATACCTTGATTTGTCGTAATGATGTGAGTCAGACGCCGAGAGAAAAACAAAATTAACTAAGTCATATATAATAAAAGGTAAGCCATGATACGATATATTGGAGAGAACACATGTATCCTCGACGATGTCAGGCGACGTTATGATAAAAAGGAAACAAGGAAACAAAGAAAAGACTATAATTGGAAGGGGACAGAGGACAATGTTAAGAAGGGGAAAGAGATTGAATAATATTTAGATATGATTCTGGTAGAGAATCTGTATCATTTTGTTTGTTTATCCCATGTTTTTGTCTTTTAATGTGAACTATCTCCGATATTAGTCTCTTATTATAAGAAGCTTCTATATCTAAAATTTCAACATTACCCCAGTCAAAATTATGATTCTGGTCAATGCGGTGATTGGTAATCACCGTTGGAGATTTTGACTTCTTATCGTATTAATATCGGAGACATGTTCGTGTAATCTTGTCTTTAATTGTCTTTTTGTCTGTACCTATGTACGTAACTAACATCGCAATCATCATAAGAGATCTTATAGACAACGTTTCGATTGCATAAAGGATCCAACTGGTCTTTGCCCTTCCTAATAAAATTCTTTAGTGAATTTGGTATAGAGAAAGCCAATTTACAATGGAACTTGTTGGTAATTGGAGTAAATTTTTCAGATACTGAATTCACATAAGGTATTGTGAAAAATCTCTTTGATTTTTTTGTCAACAATTCCACTATTAAAATTAATGTGGAATTTTAATCTTTTTTGTATAGAAGAAAAACAATACTATTATCATATATTACTTAATTTATTAAAATCTAAATTTAAATACTAATCGGGCTCTCGAAATTAAAAAAGGATAATAAAATATACGGACAATGAGAGCGTTAACATAACGCGGTAATTGGTGCGCAATTTATACAATAATCTAATAATATTCACATATTATGATAATAGAGTCGGGTTTGATCTATCGTGTCAACATCGTTTCATTTTCGCTCTCAGACGTTTCACCGGCGAGCAGCCGTTTAGTTCTCTATTATCAAATTTTAACTCATCTCATAATTTCTGTATCCTATTATTAGTGCATTTAGTTATTTTTGTTTGTGTTGCATTTCTCGCATTGTGACGGTGAGCGCGCTTTCTGCAGTTAGCCCCTTTCTTTGCTTGTGCTGCGTATTTGTGCTGCGTTTTCCTGTCAGTTGTTCCACCTGTGACATCTTTCTGTGTTTCTAGCGTTGTATGCAAGTGCTGCGACTTGTGTACGTCATATCTCGCAATCGATATTGTGCTCAGCAATTCGACAATATATCTGATATATGTAATGCATATAACGCTCGAGATTCTTAGTCTTCACTGTTAAATCTATAGTGTCAAATTTAACCTAACGTGAGTCGTCACTCCTACTCGTGATATATCGTTATTTTTTACCAAAATGATAATTAAATTTGACACTATACTTGATCAAAAAGTTCCTGAAATTCATTCAGAAAATTCAAAATACAAGTTTATTCATCAAAAGTGATGAATAAACTTGTATTGTCCCCTTCAAAGTACTCCCCATCGACTGCAACGCACTTATGCCAGCGCTTGATCCAGCTCTCGAAACATTTCTGAAACTCTATTGTCCGTCTTCCGATTTTTCCATTACCTCTTAGTAGTGGTTTTTTGACTCGATCGAACAGAAAAAAATCGCAGGGAGCCATATCGGGTGAATTCGATGGTTGTTGGATGATATTCGTTTCGTTCTTGGTCAAAAAATTTAATACAAACTCGTTGCAAATTCAACTCCATTTTTAAAACTGTAAAAAATCGAAAACACGTATAGAGGTAGATGTACTCAAGACGGCGTAACTTTTACAAATGTCAAGCTATGACGATAAAATTGGGTGGAAATGTCAATGATAGATATGGCAACCTAACCAAAAAAACAGAACTCAAATCAGCTGACTCAGAGCATCACCTGGTGGTAATTCCGGGAACTTTTTGATCAAAGTATCGTTGATCAATTTGACACTATACGAGGGTCGTCTGAAAAGTTTTGAGCCTAACATAGAAACAAGTAATTTTTCGGTCAAATTCAATTTTATTTTTCCACATAGTCTCCTTTTAGATCGATACATTTTTTCCAGCGATGCTCTCACCTCTTTAATTCATTCAAATAATACTGAGCGTCTTGCTTTGCAAAATAGGCGTCTACGGATGCGATGACCTCCCCGTTCGATGAAAATTTCTGTCCTCCGAGCCAAACTTTGAGCCTAGGAAACAGAAAAAAGTCGCTGGGGGCCAGATCTGGTGAATACGG